ATTTTGAGTCTTCCTTTGTGAGAAACACAACCTGTTTCACCTGTTTTCTATTTCTTCCTACTATACCCTATTTTACTGAAATAAGTCTTTGTTGAACTTCTGCCTGTGAGACTCTGCTTGTTTCCATTTGAAATGCTTTTCATGGCTGTTCACAGGACTCTGATCTTCATGGAACGTGGGAAGCTGAAAGAATTGACCTTTCCTGTCTCCAGCAACAGGATTTCATAAATTCTTTTTTTTGGGGGGTCCGGTCGTGGGCCTGGGCGCTGTCCCTCAGCTCGTCAGCTCAAGGCTAGTGCTCTACCACTTGAGCCACAATGCCACTTCCCGCTTTTTTTTCTGCTTATGTGGTGCTGAGGAATCTAACCCAGGGCCTCATGCATGCAAGGCAAGCGCTCTACCACTGAGCCACCTTCCAGCCCTGGATTTCATAAATTCTTTAAATTTTATTTGTCTATGTTATTGAAACTCCCCAATTTATAGTCTTTTATACCTGTTTAAATTGGTGCAGCATCTATTCATTTCTAGTAATAGCCTATTTTTTGTGTTTTGACTAATTTTTTTCCTTATTGATCTCAAAAGGAATTTGTCAATTTTACTGATGGATTTTGAGAAGTCTTTTCTTTGTTAGGTTTTAGCATCTTCTGTCAAATTATTAACTCATGGGAATTTAGAATTTTTATTTTATTTGAGGAGGAGGGAGGGAGGGGGAGAGAGAGAGAGAGAGAGAGAGAGAGAGAGAGAGAGAGAGAGAGAGAGAGAAGGTGCCTATATGTGTCTCTGTGTACATCAGAACGAGACTTCAACTCAGGTCCTCATGCTCTTACATAGCTTTTTCACTCACTTTACCTCGAGTCAGGCCTCTTATTATAGCTTTTTATTTTTGCTGGTTAATTGGAGTTAAGAGTCTTGGACTTTTCTGCCCGGGCCTAGCATCAAACCTTAATTCTTACATCTCAGTTTCCTGAGTAGTTAGGATTATAGGCATAAGCCACCACTACCCTGTTTACACTTTTTGAAAAATATAAAAAAAGAGTCATAAGTATGTAAACTTCTACTTAGAAACACTTCATCTATATTCTACAAGTTTAGATATAAAGTATTTGATTGATCATTAATTTAAATTGTTTTCTAACCTTCATGTTTTCTTTTGATTCTGAAATTATTTAGAGTTGTAATTAGTAATTAGCAATTGTAATTAGCAATCTGAATTTATTATGTCCACAATTATCTAGATTGGCTTGATTTCTAAAATAAATATATTCTGATTAGATAATGTCGCTTATAGGACACTAATCATATGACAATTATTCAGCTTTTCTTTAGAGCCGAGTTTCTGGCTATCTTATAAACATTTTGTTTAGAAAAATAATTATACTCAACACTCTGTCACCTTAAGCGTATTTTATTTGCTTATTAGAGTTTGTCATTTTGGTGAAGTCCCCTTTTTCTTAACGTGCCTCATTGTGTCTGTCTTCCTTATTAAATATAGAAAAAGAAATGTTAAATTTAAAACTAGTTTGAATGTTGAAATTTTACTATGATGGTCTGGGTGCATATTAATTTGTATTTATTTTGACCAGAATTTATTAGACCTCCTTAAGTTTTATCAGTTTTAGTATACTGTTAGACATAGTAAATTCAGATTTTATCATTTTCACATTTTCCCTATCTTCTTTTAGTACTGAATAAGTGCTTGAACATACTTACATTGTCCTTTAAGTCGGTAACTCTTTCTATCATATTTACATCTTTATGGTTGGTTATTGAATGATGGAGTGTTCTTTCAGATCTGTTTCTTTTCTTTCTTTTTTTTTTTTTTTTTCTTTTTGGGTCTGGTCGTGGAGCCTGAGCTCTGGGCCTGGGCGCTGTCCCTCAGCTCTTCAGCTCAAGGGTAGCGCTCTACCACTTGAGTCACAGCGCCACTTCTGGCTTTTTTTATTTTTGCTTATGTGGTGCTGAGGAATCAAACCCAGGGCCTCAAGCATGCAAGGCCAGCACTCTACCACTGAGCCACCTTCCCAGTCCTCAGATCTGTTTCTTAAAATGATTAGTTTTCTGCAGCTTTGTCCATGTTTTATTTTATTTTTTGTTTGCTTTCTGAGACAGCATCATACTATGTAGCCAAGGCTAGCCTCAAGCAGACAGTCCTCCTGTCTCAGCCTTCCTAGCACTGGTATTATAAGTGTGTACTACCATATCTATCCAATTGATCTATTATTTACCTATACTTTTTTCATTTAAGTTTTAATTCAATGTTACGTTTGTTATATACTCCAAGAAATGTTCTTAAAAATGTGAATTTATTCTTTCCGTTAGCTCTATCCCTCAGTGTGTTGTGTCTCTAGTGTTTTCTTTTTGTGGAAGGGGAAGATCTTATTTTTTTATAACTTTTGGAAGATTCTACAAGTTCTCTCTAAGTTGAAGGACAATATTTTAAAATACTGTCCTTTAACTTAAGGCATTTTGTATCACAGAGACAGCAAATATGAAATTTGAATGAATTGTCTGAGTCCCTTTTTCCTACTCTACTCTGGGCCATCACTTTCTGTGGAATATGTTAGTTTCTCATTTATCCTTATCCCTAAGGAATATTGCTCTTTGTAGACCAGCTTTATGCAAGGGTCTCTGGTGAGAGTCCATGGTTTGGACTGGCTTCAAACGGGTATGACTCCTCTATGACTCTCATGAAGCCTGAGGCTTAGATAGAGTAACTATTCTAGTCAGCTTTCCATTACTGTGACCAAAGACCTAAGATTATTACCTTAGACAGGAATAAATTTCTTTCAGCTCCTGATTTTAGTTCTAGTCAGTGATCAGGAGGTCCAGAATGTGGAGTGAAATAAACTGTACCTCACGATGAGGACACAAACAAAGAGGAGGCCCAGGTCTCAAATCTCCTTCAAGCCATACCACTTTCAGTGAGTTAGGGACCACCCTTACACTCCATCTCATAGCTTCCACCTACGTCCAATAGCACCACCCTGGGACCCAAGGCACAGACATTTGGGAGGCATTCCATACTACATTATAACACCTTTCATCACTGCCTGTCAGAAGGACTCCAGTGCTCTTGTCTTTTTTGTTTCTGAGTATTCTTACTTTTTATTTTTATTTATAATTTGTTTTTTGTTTTTATTTGTAATTTATTTTGTTAAAGTGAATATAATATTTAATTTGCTTCTAAGAAATCATCCTAGCTTAGTAGTTAAGTGACTACAAACACTATGTACTTTCCATATTTTGGGATCACACTTTTGCTTACTTTATTTTCTCAAGACTAATGAGTCACAGCTTCATTTATGGTCCTTTATTGGCTAATTGGACATAAGAGTCTCAAGGACTTTTCTGCTGCTCTCTCTGAACTGGGGTCCTTAGATTTCACCCTTTGGAGGGGCTAGAATGACAGGTAAGAGCCACTGAATCCCAGTGATAGGCAACAAATTTTTAAATTTTTTTGTTTGCTTTCTTAAGGCAAGGTCTTCCTGTGTAGCCCAGGCTGGCCTTGAACTCACTGCCTTGTTCTCCCAAGTGCTGGGATTATTAAGTACAGTGTCACCATGCAAAGCCAAGATTTTTACATTTTTCTTTAGGGCAGTATATTACCCTCCAAATTGAAAGCTTAGACAATTATCTCAGAAAACTGATGTTGTTAACTTATTTCTAAGTTTCAGTGAAGCAAACATGCAGTTAGGCTTTTATTTATACCAAATACAGATGTATTCCACTTTTGAAAACTATTATTAAATGTAAGGTTAAAAAATAAGGAGAAATGTTTTTAAGGCAAAAATACATATGCAATTTTTCCTTTGTTTGGGAAAATCTGCTCTTTCCTGAAATCACTCGTGTTTTTTTTGTTGTTGTTGTTGTTGTTTTTTAATTTAATTTTATTTTTTTTGTGAACATACTGTACAGAGGGGTTACAATTACATGGGCAGGATAATGCGTACATTTCTTATCAAGCATTGCAGCCTCCTCCTTTATTTATCCTTCACATCCCTTCCCTACTTCCCCCCTACCCCCCCCCCACCCAATCCTCCCCTCTCCCCCCCCCCCACCAACGTTGTAAAGCTCGTTTTCCACATGACCTTGTATTTCTCATTGTTGCAACAGGTCCACCTGTATCCTTAAACGACTTGTTTTTCCCGGTCTCCTCCACAAGTTATACTGACATCAAATATAGTGAAAGCAGGGGTTATACTGTGGGGGAGGGACATACAAAGCAACAAAGAGATAATCTTATAAATGCATTAGAAACAAATGCATGAAATAAAAAAGCATTAAAATACATATCTAAGGGTTCATTTTCCTAACATCACATTATCTGACCTTTTCCACTTGACTCATACATATACTAGATATTGCAAATAAGGAAAACCATGGGACCTATGTTTCTTTGGGACTGGCTTACTTCACTTAATATAAGTTTTTCCATTTCCTAACAAATGGGGCAGTGTCATTCTTTCTGATGGAGGCATAGAATTCCATTGTGTATATATACCACATTTTCTTGATCCATTCATCTACTGAGGGGCATATGGGTTGGTTCCATATCTTAGCTATGGTAAATAATGCTGCAATAAACATAGTTGTGCTGGTCTTTAGTGTGGTCTTGTTTGTAAACATTTGGGTAAATGCCCAAAAGTGGGATTGCTGGGTCATAGGGGAGCTCTATGTGAAGTCTTTTCAGGAACCTCCATACTGCTTTCCAAAGTGAACTCACTCGTTTTGAGTTACTCAGAAAGTTTCTGTAGTACTTAGTTGTTTACTGGTTTTAGTTCTTGTTTGTTTGTTTGGCTCTCTTTTCCTAACTGAGGTCAGGGTATGAATTCATTCAGTTTATGTGTTTTTCACATCCCCAGCATTGTGTTGAGAATCTAGCTGGTATTATCAAAATAATAAAACACACTCACTGACAGTAGAGACGATATACATCTTTTCTTGATTGTAGTACTTAAGTTTAATTGATTTATTTTTTATTCTTATTTTCACTTCATTAGGTTTTCAACACCTCCTTATCGGAACCACCTCCTCCAGGGTATGAACATGTCTCAGATGTTGTTCCTCCTTTCAGTGCCTTCTCTCCACAAGGAACACCCCAGGTACAAAATTGCAGAAGCCCTCCTGCCCAGGCACATGCAGGCAAAAATTAAAGTATCCTGAAAGGAGTTTTGACAGCATCCTAATTTACCCTTTTTGCATGTTTAAGAAACGTGGGTGCCAGTGGTTCATACCTGTAATCCTAGCTACTCAGGAAGATGAGATCTGAGGATTATGGTTCTAAGCCAGCCCAGCCAGGAAGTTTATGAGTCTCTTTAGCTCCAATTAATCAGAAAAACCAGAAATGGAGCTGTGGCTCAAGTGGTAGAGCACTAGCCTTGAGCAAAAGAATCTGAGTCAACTCTCAGGCCCAGAGTTCAAGCCCTAGGACTATCAAAAAGAAAAAAAACACAAATAATAGATAAGACTGTTTTCTTTTGGCTATCTGAAATGTATCTGCAATGTACAGTTAATATTATATTTAAAATTGGCATGTATTTAGGATGCTTGCAATCATTGCAGTTATTTCACCATTGAAATTAGGGAATGTGAGAGTTGTAAATAAAGAGATAATATGTCTCAGATTGAAAGCTAACCAAAGCTACTTAGCCTCATTCTGTAGGTTAGGCACACTAGTGTCAAGGTGAGGTTCTTGATGTAATATGCTTACTTTTTACAACATATTTCATTTTTCTTTTCCATCCCATTCCTGTACTCATGGCTCACGTCCATACATCCACTGTGATATATGTCCTCAGGGGTGTGTGTGTGTGTGTGTATCCTTCAAAATACACGGTTTTGTTTTTGTTTTTGATATACTTTAAATTCACGTTAATGGCATTGATTTATTATTATTTCCAGTTAAGGAAGAGTTCTTTTCACAATGTGTTAGTTTATGTCATAATAGTTTTTTAGTTTTCACTGTTGCATATTTCATCATATGTGCACCACAAATAAGTCACCTCTTCTCTTAGTAACACATAATTTGTCTGTAAGTACCCTTTATTGGGATGAAGGCCCCATTAAAGTGCTAGTATGTGTCCAGACACAGTCCAGGAGAGTTCCTGTGTGCACAGTAAACCAAGAATGGTACGGTGGAATTGCAGGAAACATCTCATTTCCCAGTATCAGCCTGTAGTAGCCATATCCCAATTTCAGTGTGTGAGTCTTGCTCTTTGTGCATGTGTATGTGTGTGTGTGTGTGTGTGTGTGTGTGTGCGTGCTGATCCTGGGGCTTAAGTTCAGAACCTTGGTGCTGTCCCCAAGCTTTTGTGATTAAGGCTAGCACTCTACCACCTGAGTTACAGCTCCACTTGCAGCTTTTTTTTTTTTTTTTTTGTAGTTAATTGGAGCTAAGAATCTCATGGACTTTGCTGTCCAGGCTGGCTTTGAACAATGATCCTCAGATCTCAGGCTCCTAAGTATCTAGGATAACAATGCTAGCCATCTTTCTGAATACTGATATAAACATTTCAAATTATATCACAAGATTTTATTGCTTATCCAGCTGATAGGTTACTTTAAAAAAATTTTTTTTTACACTTGTCAGTCATGGGACTTGAACTCAGAGCCTGGGTGCTATCTCTCAGCTCTTTTGTTCAAGGCTAACACTCTACTATTTTGAGCCACGGCACCACTTCCATTTTTCTGGTGGTTAATTGGACATTAGCGTTTCACAGACTTTCCTGCCCAGGGTGGCTTCAAACCTTGATCCTCAGATCTCAGCCTCCTGAGTAGCTACGATTATAAGCATGAGCCTCCAGCACCCCAGCTAATACATGGTTTTTTAAATTTGTTTTGATTCACATATCTCTGATCACAAATAAGGTTACTCATCTATAAACGTACATGCTGATTAAACTACTCTAGGTTTCACTTTGTGAAATGATTAATTATAATGTTTCTTTTTCCTATGGAATTTCTGATCATTTTGTTAAATTGCATGGGTTCATACAGAACCCCTTTGTACAACTACGCAAAGTGTGTATGTGTGTCCATATATATCACAAAATATAATATAGAATATATGATATATATATGCAAACAATGTGTATAAAATATGATTAAAATATCTTCACTTAAAATCATTAATATTACCATAGTAGATAGTAGAGTAAAAGTATATATGGACAAATAATATATAATAGCAGGGCATATAAACAAGAGTTTAAAATTGCTATGCAACGTAAAATACACTTTAAAAATCTTATTAACTGTTTTGCATGCAGTGACTCACTCTTGAAGTCATAGATACTCAGGAGGCAGAGTACAGGAGGATCACATTTTCATCCTAGTCCAAACAAAATTTATGAAGACCATATACCAAGCTGGGTGCCAGTTGTCTTTCTTTCTTTTTTTTTTTTTTTTGTTTTTGGTTGTCATGGAGCTTGAACTCTGGGCCTGGATGCTGTCCCTCAGCTCTTCAGCTCAAGGGTAGTGCTCTACCACTTGAGCCACAGAGTCACTTCTGGTTTTCTGAGTGGTTTATTGAAGATAAGAGTCTCACGGACTTTCCTGCCCAGACTGGCTTTGAACTGAGATCCTCAACCCCTTGAGTAGCGAGTATACACGCATGAGCCACCAGAGCCAGGCCACCAGTTGTCTTATACCTGTAATCCTAGCTACTCAGGTGTTAGAGATTTGAGAACTGTGTTTCTGATCTAGACTGGGCAAACAAATTTCAGATATTCTTATCTGCAATTAACCACTGAAAAGCCAAATGTAGTACTCAGGTAGTAGTGTCTCAGCCCTGAGCAAAAGAAAGCTAAATGAGAGCAGGAGTCCCTGAGTTTAAGCCCAGTACCTGAGTATAAAAAATAAAATAAAATAAAGGGTCCATATTTCAAAGAAAAATCTGGGCATTATGGTGCATGCTTGTCATCTTGGCTTCAGTAGGAGGATCATGGTCCTAGGCCCCTGTACAAGAAATAAATGACCCTAGAGAAACAATAAATAAAGCAAGCGCTAAAGGAGAAACATGAGGCATGGCTCGAGTAATAGAGTACTTGGATAGTAAGCTCAAGATTCAGAATTTAAACCCCAGTAACAACAAAACATGAGTATGAACCAGCTGAAGAACACTGAAATATATTGAGCAGTGAAAATATGAATGAAGAAACAGATTCTAGCTGAGCATACTGGCCAGTATCTATAATCACAACTACTTAGAAGGTAGAGGCAGGAATAGCACAAGTTCAACAGTAGCCTGGGCAAAGTTAGTGATATCCTCTTTCATAAACAAAATAAAAAGCAAAAGAGCTGGGGACATGTTTCAAGCTTTCTCTCTCTCTCTCTCTCTCTCTCTCTCACACACACACACACACACACACACATACATACACATACACACAAACACATACACAACAGAGTTAGGATATTAAGATGTTATAAAGAAGTACATTTTACTCTGATTGGTCTAAATGTTTTTGCATGACATTTAAATTCAACAAAGTAGTTTTGAACTTTGGTGTAACTGAGCAGCATAGAAATCGTTATCATTTATTTTTCTTTCAAGATGCTTCTCCCAGATTAATGACCAACTAGGAGGCACAAGTTATTCTGTATGGGATTCCTGTTCCTATTCCAATGTCAGATGAGTGGGTTAACTGGTGTGCCATAATAAGTCATTTGAAACCCAGCTTGAGGCAAATTGGCAATTTGATAATATCTATAATCATACTTATCAACGGATTCTCAAACTTTAGTGTGTGATAATTTGGAGAAATTATAGAATAGAGATTCTAGTTCCTACCCTCTGAATTTTAGTGGGCTTGGGATAAACTTGAGATTTGTGGGTGTGTGTTCTTTGTTTATTTTCAATGTTGAGGTTTGAACCAGGATCTGTACTTGCTGGGTGAACACTCTCACTTGAACCATACCAAAGCCCTTATTGTGTTTGTTATTTTAATAATGGTGCTGAATATAGGCCTGGGTCAGCCTGTATCATGTCCCTCCCATTTATGCTTCCTGAATAGCTGGGATAACAATATATAACACCCAGTTTAGCTTTGTATTGGGTGCAATGGAATCTCACTAACTTTTTTTCTAGTTTGACCTTGAACTGAAGTCCTGCTGATGTCTGCTTCTCAAATAGCTTAATTACAGACATGAGCTATAACACCTAACCTTAGGTATTTAAAAACTGAGGTCCTCAGTGATTGTGCTTCTGCAAATTCAAAGGCCATTCGTAAAGAACCACTCCCATTCCCATTCAGTTTAAACTATACTAACGAGGACAGGAAAATGTAAACCTGAAAGAAATGGGGAAAACGTAACCCAGTAGTCAGAATTGTATTCACAGTCATAGAACAATGGCACAGTGTATGCTACACAAGAAGGCCCTTGTTTCTAAACAAAGCTTTTATTTAAGAAATGCTGAGAGAGCATAAACTGTTGTTTTTGTTTGCATTTGTAAAGCTTATAGTCAGTTTTAAACTAGTATCTTCTTCTCCCATACCTTCTCCATCATAGCTTTTTTTGTGTATGTGTGAGGATTAGCAATAATAGTTTCCACTTAGTAACACTTAAAGAAATATTCTCCCTAAATTTAATAATATTAAGGAATAATTACAAGATACCGTTACTATATTTTTTCTGATAATTAGTTAACTGCAGCTAAAGTTTGCAAAAGAAGATACTCTAAACTAGGCACTGGGGACTCATGCCTATAATCCTATCTATTGAGGAGATTGAGATCTGAGGATTGAGGTTTGAAGCCAGCCCAGGAAAACCAATCCTCAAGATTCTTATCTCCAATTAACCTGTATAAAGCCAGAAGTAGAGATGTGGTTCAAGTGTAGAGCACCAGCCTTGAGCAAACAACAAAAATTAAATAAATAAAAATTCAGGCATGCAAGGCCCTGTGTTTATACTCCACAAAGCCAACCAACTGAAGAAACAAAACAAAGAATGTGCTCTAGTAAGGGCTAACAATTATAAATCAGACATAGTGCCATTATTACTAGTGCATTAGCCTATGTTGATCTTAGGGAAAAAATGCAGTAGCTAAAAATCCGTTTTACCAAAGCAAAGATTCAAATGTCACTTTCTAGATTAGACTTTTACCATGTTATTTAAAGTTACCTATTTGAGTACTAGTTACTGTTTTCAGACTCTCTTTAAATTTTCTTTTTTAAGATTTCTATATCATCACTTTGCAATCACCTTAAAATATGCTATATATTTTTGTGTGTGTGTATGGTGGTTTTGGGGTTTGGGTACTGTCTCTGAGCTTTCCCACTTAAGCCTAGCACTCTAACATTGAGCCACAGCTTCACTTCCAGCCTTCTGGTGGTTAATTGGAGATAAGAGTCTCATTGACTTTCCTGTCCAGTCTTCCTTCAAATCTCCTGAGTAACTACAATTACATCATGAGCCCCCATACCATCCTATTCTCATATTCAATTTAATGTTTATGATCATTTTAATTATCATTTTATTCTCTTCCTCCCAACCAAAATGCCTTCTAGGGCTGGGATTTTCCATAACATTTAGAACCCTGGCCATCAAAATAGTCTTCAAGTAAATCTCAAAATCAACTAAGAAATAGGTCTGCTTTAGAATTTGAATTTGTTTTTGAGCACATAAGATTTTCTCTAAAAGGAAAACTATAAACAAAATCACAGAAGGCTGGAAATCACTTGGCAGCTTCCAAGTACAGGCATGAATTGTTCAAGGAAATCAATCACCTGTGTATTCTTGTTTTAAGATATTTTATTGTTGTTATAAAGGGGGTACAATAGGGTTATGGTTACATAAGTAAGGTAATCTTTTTGGACAATGTCATCTCTTCCTTCTCTCACTCCCAGCATCTGTGTATTCCTTTGTGGAATATGGAGCATGTGGTGAGGTCCTAATTGGTGAGGTCCACCTTACAAATTAAAATACCTTTGTCCTTTCTTTTAAAATAAACAAATGAAAGTCATATATTACCCATCTTAAAATACATAGGAAGTAATTATCTGAGGTATGAAAATTACTTCAGGCTAAAATTTAAAATAACTTCTAGGGCAGGGAATGTAGCTTAGTGGTAGAGTGCTTGCCTAGCATGCATAAAGCCCTAGGTTTGATTCCTCAGTACCACATAAACAGAAAAAGTTGGAAGTGGCACTGTGGCTCAAGTGGTAGAGAACTAGCTTTGAACAAAAAGAAGCTCAGGGACAGCGCCAGGCTCTGAGTTCAAGTCCCAGGACTAGCAAAAGTAAAATAAAATAACTTCTTAGATTTGTGCTGATGCTTCACACCTGTAATCACTGCTAGGAAAGAGGTTGAAATCTGGAAAATCAAGGTTCAAAGCCAATGCAGGCAGAAAAGTTCTGGAAATTCTACCTTTAAAATAACAAGCAAAGAGGCTGGGAAGGTGGCTCAGTGGCAGAGTGCTTGCCTTGCATGCATGAGGCTCTGAGTTCGATTTCTTAGCACCATATATGCAGAAAAAGCTGGAAGTGGTGCTGTGGCTCAAGTGGTGGAGTGCTAGCCTTGAGCTGAAGAGCTGAGGACAGTGCCCAGGCCCAGAGTTCAAGCCCCAAGACTGGCCAAAAAAAAAAAACAAGCAAAAAGTAGGCTTGAAGATGTGGCTCACAGAGTGCCAGTAGTGCAAGTTCAAAGCTTTACATTTGATCACTGGTGCCAAGAAAAAAAAAATAACTTGGCTGATAGATCAGTGTGTGATTCAGGAGTTGTAAGTTGGATTGTATTTATATCATGTAGTGACAATTCCATAACAAAATGTTTTGCATTACTGTACAAAATGTCTGAGAATTTATTGGTAAAAGCAAAAAATGTGAATAAAACTATCACTCCCTGTCCTACTTTGGCAATTATTAATTTACCTTACAGTTTTTGGGTTTGTGTGCCATTATTGGACTTGAACTCAGGATTTCCTGATCTCCATAGCTTTTTAGCTCAAAAGATTGATTCTCTACCACTTGAGCCACAGCTTCACTTCCAGCTTTTTGCTGGTTGGAGATAAAGAGTTTCATGGATTTGTCCGCCTGGGTAGGCTTTGAACTCAGATCTTAAGATCTTAGCTTCCTAAGTAGCTAGAATTATAGTATGTGCCATAGTGCCTGGCTCAGAAGTATGTGTATTGTGTGCATTTTTTATTGGAGAATGCTTCTATATCTTTATTGCTACCTAATAAAAAGAAGATAAGATAAACATTATTATTCATTATTATTAATAGTCCTGGAGTTTGAACTTGGGGCCTTGAATTTGCCAGGCAGATGCTCTACCACTTACCACTTTGACCCATACTCCTGGCCCCCAAATAAACTTGTTCTTTTATGTTCATGTCTCCAACTCATCTAAATATTTTCTCAATTTGAATTTTCCCTCCCTTGAGCCTCATATTGTTCCTTTAAAAAAAAATTGGGGGTGCCTGTTCTGGGGCTTGAACTTAGGGCCTGGGGGCTGCTCCTGAGCTTTTTGGTTCATTGCCTAGTACTCAACCACTTGGGCCACACCTTTGGTTTTTGGGCAGTTCTTTGGAGATAAGGATCTCACAAACTTCTCTGCTCAGGCTGGCTTCAAACTGTGATCCTCAAGTCTCAGCCTTCTGAGTAGGTGATATTATAGGCATGAGCTTCTGGTACCCAGGAAGCCTTATATTTTTTCAAATCTTATATCCTCATGCTTCCCCCCTCTCTTTCATAGATGTCAAGCATCCCTCATGCAGAGAAACCTTCTTGTGTTGTGTTTTACACTAAATTGTTCCTGATCTCAACAGGGTGATTTAGTTTATGTTAACTATGCACGAACGGAAGATTTCTTTAAACTGGAGAGGGAAATGAAAATCAATTGCTCGGGAAAGATTGTGATTGCCAGATATGGAAAAGTGTTCCGAGGAAATAAGGTAATGATCCTCTCCTTCTTTTCCCCAGTCCAAGTAGTACTACAGTGCACCAGACACAATGCATAACCATCCCTCTGGCCTTTGTGAGGCCCAGGAGCCTCTTATACTCTGAAAATGCTCATGTTATAGAGGAGATACACTTACTAGCTCAGAGTTTGTTTTATCTTATTTTAATTTATTTCTATTTTGTTTGGTTCCTTTTGGTTCTGGTACTGGGACTTGAACCAAGGGCCTCATGCTCTCTCTGCTTTTCACTAAAAACTAGCACTTTAGGGACTGGGAAGGTGGCTTTGTGATAGAGTGCTTGCCTTGCGTGCATGAAGCCCTGGGTTCGATTCCTCAGGACCACACAGCAGAAAAAGACCGAAGTGGAGCTATGGTTCAAGTGGTAAAGCACTCGCCTTGAGCTGAAGAGCTGAGGGACAGCGCCCAGGCCCAGAGTTCCAGCCCCATGACCAAAAAAAGAAAGAAAAGAAAAGAAAAAAAAAAGCATGCTCTGTTTTGTAGGTTAAAAACGCCCAGCTGGCAGGGGCCACGGGAGTGATTCTGTACTCCGACCCTGCTGACTACGTGGCTCCCGGAGTCAGGCCTTACCCGGACGGGTGGAACCTTCCTGGAGGTGGTGTCCAGCGTGGGAACATTCTAAATCTGAACGGTGCGGGGGACCCTCTCACCCCGGGTTACCCGGCGAGTGGTGAGTGATCAGACCTCAGTCCCTGCAGGAAGTCCACACTTCCAAGCGATTTTACTAAAAGATCACCTTGGGCCAAATACAGAATTTCTTTTTTTTTTTAACCTCTTTGCATGGAATGAAAGAGTTTCACATTCTGTGCGTGGTTGCTTCAGTCTCAGATCACTTCTTTGGAATTTTTGGACCTGACAGGTTTGAAACTCAGACTTTTTCTAGATAGTTAAGCTGTGATATGGTATATATGCCATTCATCCACAGCAATTTCAGGAACTCAGAACTCAGGAAACAAGTATATAAATAGTTTTACAAAAATAGTATGAATAATGATACTAATTAAGGATAAATAAGGAGTATCATTTAACTTGTGTCTGCTCAAGTAAGATTGTGTCCAGTGAGCTTTGGTTAAATCAAGTATTTTTGACAAGTTCCCCAAAATTTATAGTTTTCATAATTGGGTTTTATTTTTTCAATACTGGAGTGTAAACTTCTGCTTATAGGGCCTTATGTTTTCTAAGCACTCTACTTCTTGAGCCACACTCATAGCCCTTTCTTTCATTCCAGTTCTGGGGCTTGAACTCAGAGCCTGGGCATTGTTCCTGAGCTTTTTTGCTCAAGGCTAGCATTCTATTACTTGAATTACACCTCCACTTCTAACCCTTTTGGTGTTCAATTGAAGATAAGAGTCTCACAGACTTTCCTGCCTTGGCTTATTTTGGAACAGTGATCATCTGTTCTCAGCCTCTTGTGTAGCTAGAATTACAGGCATGACCCACTGGTCCTTTTTTGTTCTCAATTATTTTTTAAATAATACATCCAAGTTAGTATGGACCACTAATCTCCTATTTACACTTACATTGTAGCTGTCAATGGGAGTGTGCCACTGTACTCAACTTTTGTGTTGAGATGGGTCTCACTAACCTTTTGCCCAGGCTGGCTTCAAACTTCAGCATACATAGTAGCTAGAAATATAGGTGTGAGTCACCATGTCTGGCCAAGAGTTCAGTGTTTTAGTTTTTTTTTCCTAGTTGATAAGGAAGAGAGCAGCGATTCTATAAACTCATTAAATGGCGCATTTAGAATATAGAGTCTTGAAAAGAATGATTGCTTTGTTGTATATGAAGTGATAACTACTAAGGAGTATCTGCTGAATACCAGTCACGGCAAACATTATGACCATTATTAACTAGGAGGCATTATTATCTCTATTTGACCTGCTGGGCAGGGAGGAAGTCCAGAATGGAAGTGGTGCTGTGGCTCAAGTGCTAGCCTTGTGCTGTGAAGAGCTCAGGACAGCACCCAGGCCCAGAGTTCAAGCCCCACAATAGAGAGAGAGAGAAAGAGAGAGAGGAAAGAGAGAAAGAAAGCAAGAAAGAATGAACGAATGAAAGAAAGGAAGAAAGAAAGAAAGAAAAGAAGAAAGAGGGAAGGAAGGAAGGAGAAAGAAAGAAAGGTACTCTATATTTGACTTAGGTAACTAACTTCTTTGTATATCACCTTTATAAAAATTAAAAATTAAATTAAAAAAGTTTTGCTCTAGAGAATTTCAGAAAAAGTCCTATATTTATGTTATTTTTGCCTATAAAAATGAATAAGATTTTGCAATTGCCTAAGTTTCTTACTAGATGATTTAAAATTTTGGAACTAAGATGAAAATCTTTGGAGAAAAACCAACCCAAGAACAAGTCCAGTGGCTGTTATACTGTGTTTTCTTTTTTGGAAATAAAGTTGACATATAATAAAATACATAGATTTTGAGCTCACATTCAATATATTTGATTATTACATGCATTCCTTTCATCCAAAATAAAATGTGACATTTCTATTACTTTAAAAAGTTCTCTTATATCCCTTTCTGGTCAATTTTCCCTGCACCTCTAGCAATAATATTTATATATTTAGCTCACTGCATTAGTTTGTCTTTCAACTTCACATAAATGGAAACAGACAGTAGATGTTCTTTGTGCCTGCCTAACTCCACTCACAGTAATGATTAGATATTTTCCATGTTACTACAAAATATTGTCCCTTTTAATTTTTGAGCACCATTTCAATTTTTCCGTAGTATGTGGTGGGACTGTACACAGTTAATATATTTGCTCTCTTATTTTCAGAACTGTGATGGGTAATGTAAATGTGGCTGCTTTCAGCAATTTTGTGCATGTTTTCCTGCATATACATATTTTCTTTTTTTTTTTTTTGAGCAAACACTGATGAGTGAAATTGTTTTGCCATTAATAATTAATGCTTTTAATGCATTTTAATTACAGAAAACCACTGGGTACATTTTCACTCTTATAGGGCATGAATGAGACTTTCAGTTGCTCTACATTTATGTTAACATTTGCAATGAGAATGTTTTTATTTGACCAATTCTGGTAGATACAAATGATGATATGTTTAATGTGGTTCACATTTAACTGAGTTTTTATTGGAAACATGCTCACATTTTCCCCACAGAAAATGCATATAGGCGTGAAGTTGCAGATGCTGTTGGCCTCCCAAGTATTCCTGTCCATCCAATTGGATATTATGATGCACAGAAACTCCTGGAGTAAGTAAACTATTTGGTAATTCCTTTTCTTAGTAGTTAGACCTTTTTTTTTTTGGTACTGGTATTCCTGAAATGAGTGGCACATCCAATTTGGTGCATTTTTATCTAATTTTATCACTATTTTATAGAAGGTTCACTTCTGGAATTGGATTATGGGAATCCAATGTGTGACAGCCATGAAAATGAGCCTTCAGACCTCCCACTGCATGGAGAACATCACTGGCCATTCTCAGCCACTGCTTTGAAGTCAGCACCCTGTTTCTGTCAAGGCCATACCATTCCCCTAGATATTTTCAGGACGTGACTGTGGAATGGATGCTAGGACAACACTGTGGGATATATGCTAGGATGGGCTTGTATTGGGAGGCCCAGGATTCCTCAGATATGAGATGTTAGCTCAAGGACCTCTTGACAACCTTACTCAGAGATGCTATACCTACCTCTCCACTTTCCTTCCTCCCTTTCCTTATCCTTTATCCTATATCAGATGTTCATTGCTGTCTGCTGTCTTCCCTGGCTCTCTATTTACTTCCCTATCTGGGTTTTCGTCACTAGTAAATCTCTTACACATGCTTCCATGATTTGATACCTATTGGAGACTCAAGAAAAACAGTAAAGTATAAAAATTTCTTCTATTATTTTTTTTTCTTTTTTTTTTTTTTTAATTTAATTTAATTTTATTTGTGAACATACTGTACAGAGGAGTTACAGTTACATGGGCAGGATAATGTGTACATTTCTTACCAAGCATTGCAGCCTCCTCCTTTGTTTACCCTTCACATCCCTTCCCAGCCTCCCCCCTCCCCCCCAATCCCAATCCTTCTCCTTCCTCCCCCCCCCCCCAGCGCCCCCCCCCCCCCCCCCCCCCCCCCGCACCAACGTTGTAAAGTTCGTTTTGGACATGACAACTTGTACTTCTCATTGTTGCAACAGGTCCACCTGTATCCTTAAACAACTGGTTTTTCCCCATCTCCTCCACAAGTTATACTGGCATCAAATATAGTGAAAGCAAGGGTTATACTGTGGGCGAGGGACATACAAAGCAACAAAGAGATAATCTTATAAATGTGTTAGAAACACATGCATGAAAGAAAAAAACATTAAAATACACATCTAAGGGTTCATTTTCCTGACATCACATTATCTGACCTTTTCCGCTTGACTCATACATATACTAGATATTACAAATAAGGGAAACCATGGGACCTACGTTTCTTTGGGCCTGGCTTACTTCACTTAATATAATTTTTTCCAAGTTTTTCCATTTCCTAACAAATGGGGCAATGTCATTCTTTCTGATGGAGGCATAGAATTCCATTGTGTATATATACCACATTTTCTTGATCCATTCATCTACTGAGGGGCATCTGGGTTGGTTCCATATCTTAGCTATGGTAAATAATGCTGCAATAAACATAGTTGTGCTGGTAGCTTTAGTGTGGTCTTGTTTGTGAACATTAGGGTAAATGCCCAAAAGTGGGATTGCTGGGTCATAGGGGAGCTCTATGTGGAGTCTTTTGAGGAACCTCCATACTGCTTTCCAAAGTGGTTGAACAAGTTTACATTCCCACCAACAATGAAGTAAGGTTCCTTTCTGTCCACATCCTCTCCAGCATCTGTTGTTGTTAGAGTTCTTGATTTTTGCCGTTCTAACTGGAGTGAGGTGATATCTCAATGTTGTTTTGATTTGCATTTCTTTTATGGCTAGGGATGTTGAACATTTCTTCATGTGTTTATTGGCCATCCTTCTTTCTTCTTCAGAGAAGTTTCTCTTTAAGTCTTTCGCCCACTTATTTATTGGGCAGTTGTTTCTTTGAGGATTTGTTGTTGGGGGGTTTAATTTTTTGAGTTCCAAGTATATTTTAGATATGAGACCCTTGTCTGTTGTATGGCTAGTAAAGATCTTCTCGCAATCCGTGGGCTTTCTATTGATCTTGCTAGCTATGTCATTTGCCCTGCAGAAGCTCCTTGGCTCAGGCCGAAATTTTCTGAATAGAGACCCAGAAACACAACAAATCAAAGAAAGGTTGGACAAATGGGATTGCATATTCTGCTTTTACTTTGAACATTCTTTCTTTATTTTGTCGATTGTGGGGCTTGAACTTTGGGCCTGCACACTGTCCCTGAGCTCTTCAGCTCAAGGCTAATGCTCTACCACTTTGACCTGCAGCACCACTTCCGGTTTTCTGGTGGTTAGTGGTCAATTAAAAGATAAGAGTCTCATGGACTTTCCTGCCTGGGCTGGCTTTGCATGGCGATCCTCAAATTTCAGCCTTCGGATAAGCTAGGATTAAAGGTGTGAGCCACCAGCGCCTGGCTCTAACCTTCTTCTTTATGATTTCATTATTAAAATTTATTATTTGTTTCTGGCATTGAGACCCTTTCACTTTTGTTTCCCTCCATCATCATATTCCTTCACTCCCACTGTACTGAGGAGGGAAGATAACACTGAGCCTTCCCAGAGTGAAGTTGACAGAACCAAAGCAGCAGGCCAGATTGTCAAAGGTTATCAATTACTTTATTGCTCATCTACAAGAAAGCATTTTTCAAGATAAGCAAAATATATTTATTTGAAGATGAAAGGAAAGCTGTGGAAGAAGTAGCTTTCCATCTAAAGAGGACTCTAAGGTGGAGTTTCCCCAAGTTCTCCCAAGGTGGTTTTATAGTAAGGAGCTCCTCCCACAACTCTTCCTCTTTGCTCTGCACTGATTGCTTGGTAGCTTTGGCATGTACCACCCCAGTTCTTTCCATTTGTTGGAGCACCCAGGGCATTGTGGGAAGAAGTATTTGAGCACAAGCTCAAGGTACTTTGGGAACAAAAAGTGCTAGGATGGGACACATTTTTGGCTATGTGTTAAGTTTGCCACTTTTTATCCCTATCTACCTAATAGTTCCCCTTTCTCTATCTTATTTTCCTCTCTAAAATGGAAATCTTAATTGCTGTTGTGGAGCAGAAGTGATGATGGCTCTAGGCCACTTCCTTCTGAGATGAGGTGAAGTGGGCATGGCAGTCTGAGGTCTTCCAGGAAGGCTTTTCAGGCCGATGAGGTGTACTTGTGTGTGTTTCATCTACCAAGGCAAAAACTGCACAGTACAGTTTACACAAGGCACCTTTCCTTATGGCCATATGTACCTTTATGGGTTCCACTCTGAAAAAAATCAAACCTAGGAAGCAGATTGACAATTTAGGGAAAAAAATATTTTCTTACCTAGTGTAGGGCCCTCATTTTTACAGGTAAGAAGGCTGTTTTCTACATATTGGAAGTATATGCCTAATTTAAGGGGATGTTAAGGAAATATCCTTTCCATTTATCTTTTGTGCTCTTACCTTTGTCATGTGGGCAAAGGTACAATTTTTGAGGGCACCATAGACCATGAATTTGTCTAAATGTCTTAAATATTATGTTTAGAGAAGTTCCAGAATGCCATATTTAATGCTTTTAATTAATTAGTGATTTCCAGTTCATTTAGGAGTGTGTTGGTTAATCTTGACTGTGAGCTTGATTGATTGGATTAAATGATGCCCAAGATTACTGCTTCAAAACACTTCTAGGTGTATCTGAGAAGACGTCTCTAGAGATGATTAACTAAGAAGATATGACCTGTCTTAAATATGAGTGGCATCATTGGATGGTCTTGGGGCCCAAATATAACAAGATTAGGCTTAGAGAAAGGTTGGGAACCATTACACACCTTCCTGATTTACATTTTGGTAACCAGAGCCCTTCTGTACTTAGAATATCTGGTTAATTTAATTAAAATATCTCCTTGATGATTATTATTTTTGTTCTTTCTTTATTGTGCCCTTTTTTCTCTTCTTTTCTTTTCTTTCTTTTTGCTGCTCCTGGGGCTTGAACTCAAGGCCTGAATATTGTCCTTGAATCTCTTTGTGCTTTAGGCTTGCGCTCTACCACTTGAGCCACAGCACCACTTCCAGCGTTTTCTGAATAGTTCATTGGAGATAAGAGTTGCATGGACTTTTCTGCCTGGGCTGCTGGCTTCCAACTGTAATTCTCAGATTTTAGCCTCCTGAGTAGCTAGGATTACAGGTGTGAACCACTGGCACCTGGTCCGCCCACCTTCTCTCCCTCCCTCCCTCCCTCCCTCCCTCCCTCCCTCCCTTCCTTCCTTCCTTCCTTCCTTCCTGCTAGGGCTTGAACTCAGGGCCTAGGTACTGTCCATTACCTTTTTGTTCATTTGATCTAAGCTCCACTTCTGGGTTTTTGGTGGTTGATTGTAGATAAGCATCTCACAGTTTTTCCTGTCAGAATGGCTTTGAACTTTGATCCTCAGTCTCTTAGGATGATATTATGAGCTACTGGTGCCTGCCTAATTATGTTCATTTTCAGTATGAACTCTAAATTTCTGCCTTCTTTTCTGCCACTAGTTAGTTCTGAATTTATCAAATACCTTTAAACAAGTGGTCTTTAGTCCATACATATGAGCTCTCCAAGCCAAGTAAGATTGCTAGGATAGGAGGAAGACACTTGACCTTCAGGAGGTGAAGTTAGAATTTCCACATGACTGGTTTGCCTTGTGACTCTTGTCATGCCACACATCCTGCTGAGGAGTTTGGTCTGTGCTGCTAGTCTAGCTTCTTCTCTCGGCAATAAGTTAACAAAGAGGCTAATTTAAAGAATAAAAAATTATGCCACATTTTGAGGAGCTGAATTTCCTTAAATATTTTTCTAGATGTCTTAAACATGTTTCCTACTAACACGATTTTAATATAAATTACTGCAAACAGAAAAGATCTAGGCTTTCTAGGCATAAAATCCTATAGAATTGCTTCTGCCTTTCATTCATTGTTCATAATTGACTGTGCTGGTTAACTAAGTCAATATTAGTTTCACCTTAAGTTTAGTAGCTGGTTAACTAAGTCAATATCATTTTCACCTTAATTTTAATAGAAATACTTAATGGAAGAATTATAAGTACAGTTTATCTCTAATCATTTTTAGTTAGTTTCTGTAATAAAAGGGTTGTAAGATTTTAACCTA